AGGCTCTGAGCTGGCGGTCAGCACAGAGCCCAACGCGGGGCTCGAACCCACGAACCGCGAGATCATGACCTAAGCAAAAGTCAGACGCTTAACCAACTAAGCCACCCAGGCGCCTCTAAATAAGAATTTAAAAAAACAAAAATAAAAACAAAAAACACAACCTTCCCTGTTTCGCTTTTCCCCTTAACATGTGTACTAAGCACTGCACTCTACATTTTACTTACTTCTCTTTTTCACTCCCTGGCCCCCTCACCAGAAGGTAAGTTAGGAGAGGACAGGCATTTGTTGTTGTTGTTGTTGTTGTTGTTGTTGTTTGCAGCTACAAGCCACCCCCCCCCCCAGGGTGCCTAGACTAGATCAGATGCTTGATAGAGATCTTCAAATGTATGAGAGGCTGAATGTATATCTTGGCTCAAAACAAAAGAGAGCTGAGAAATACAAACTCCTAACAAATACGGCAGCTGGGACACCCTCAGGGAGAAATCAAGGGACTTCCACCTCTGTTTTCCTCTTGCTAATATTCTTTCAAATGTTTCTCCCAGACTCTAAAATTCAGAGTAATCCCAGAATAAATACTACAAAACCAGCCAGTCAAATATACAAACCACCTGAAGCAGCTTTGCCTGTCTACTCCTCCTCCCCCCAACACATACATCCGAAAAAAGCACTGTTGAGTGTGGTTCCCACTGGGGCTTTCAGATAAATCAATCACCTGTGTCCTCAACAGGTGTATTTCCTGAGCAATTTCAGAATAAGTAGTGTTGAGTATGATACTAGTGGGAAAAGACAGTGCTTGCCCCACAGAAATTTCTATTTATATTCTTCCTAAAGCAGCACCCAGCAGGCATTCGTTTAATGGAAAAGGGAACACACTATGCTATTGACATGAAGTGGGATAAGACTTCCTGTCCAGAGCTGTTTTCACTTTGCTATGAGCCTGGGCATAAAAATGTCACTCCAAACAGGAAGGAGATGCACTAGCCACATAGGAAGGCTCATGAAGAACCATGGCCAGTATCTTCCTGGTTCAGGTGAGCCCTAAAATCTCAGGGTTGGAAGGGTACTTGCAAACCATCTTGTCTTTGCTGCCCCCGTGACTTTAGAGACAAGGAAGCTGAGACAAGGAGAAGGTGGTGTGGACAAGTGACCAAGCAGCCCACAGGCCACACAACCCATTAGCGGCCGAGCCAGAGGACTGAAGGCCAAGTTCCAATCCTCCATGATGGTCAATTCCAGCCCCCTACAGACAGCAATTACTTCACCGTAAAATGTTCGGTCTATAAGAAAAGCATGTATTCACACCCTACAGAGATGAAGATCTATTTTCTAGGACATGCCATTTCCTATACTCAAGAGGAAGGGAGGAAATTGGGACAATCATTCTGTGTCATGCCAAGTGCTCAGACCTTCTCTGTGCAGATGGCTTTCATGGCATGGAAATTAGAAAAGTGATTTCCATGACTCTGGGGTACTTCCTGGACACCACACCACAGCTTTCTTCCCATCCATATACTTCTCCAAATGGCATAGTATCACTTTTTTCATTTCGGGAGTCGCTGAAAGATCTCTCCAGTAGAGATGGTCTGGGGAGCCTCAGCAGATCCGCTGACAGACATGTTCACAGCCCCTGATTTGCTGGTACACAACATTTATTGGCTCCCACCATGTGCCAAGGATCTGAAAACGTGTCATTGATGAATAAATAGTCCTTAGGTCCTTCTACCTTAGTCAGGTTCTGGAATTCCCTTTCAGAGGAAGGTACATGCAGCCCCTTAGTTGGGAGGCTTCTCCTAAGGCCTGACCCAGAGGCATGTCAGCTAACCCAGGCCCAAATCCCAAAGGCAGGTCCCTTCACCTAGGCTGTCCCGGGCTTCCTTAACCTCTTTCCCACCCTCCTGAGCCAGCCTTCACTCTCATTTGGTCCCCAGTCCCCATCAAGGCCCCTCTGACCACGTGACCACATGGCTTGACCCTTTGGCTTCAACAGTAAGTGTTCTGCTCTGCAGGGAATGTTACCTGAATCAGGCAGCCAGATATCGGATTACAAAGTTTGGCCAAGTGTGTTTCTCAGGCCTTTACAAGGCTTTATTTTAAAAGCATTTTAACACTCTAAGATGACAGTCTGGCTCCTGCCAGGGCTTTCCTGCCTTAGGATCTTGAAGACATATGGGGAAGGTGCGACAAACAAAATGACTGGAGCTGCAGAGGACTGTGGAAATGAATCTCAATCATGATCAGTGATGCCTTTGACTTACAGTAAATTTCATTACAAATAGGAGGGGGGTCCAGACTCAACATCTACACAGACAGGACTGGAAGCAACCTCCCTATTTAGACTCAGGCCAAGGTCACTGGAGCTAGCCCAGGGTGACACAGGCATCCTAAACCTCATATGATGGCTAGAAAATCCAAAGAGACAAAATAATGCTGATTATCCAAGAGCTTTGAAATGTTACTGTATGTAGATAACAGGTTACCCCATAATTATGTTTTCCTTGCATTAATATTAAAACTAGCTTTCTAAATACTAAAGTTAAATCAAATTATTAGTAAACATTCGCTAATGTGGGTTACATAACCCACCAATGGCTCAACGCCATCGGGATCATGATGAGTTGTTCTGTTTAGATTCCACAATTAATAACTAGCTCATGTTTGGCAAGTCACTTAATCTCTCTGTTGCCTCAGTTTTCCCATCTGCCAATTGGGGATAATACCAAATACCTACCTCATAAGGTTATTATAAGAGTAAAACACACGTAAGGCACTTAGAATAATATCTGATACGTGGTATTCATTTAAGAAAGTCATCTACGACGACTATTATTATTATATCATGGAGTAAAAACATGTTGATCATTTTCTTATTTGTGTTAGGCTCTTTTAGAACCCATGCCAGCACCACGGGGCCTCAGTGGGAAGCTTCTTTTCAAAGACCTATTTCCAAGGAAGAAGGCAAAGCTTTGGGACCCCAACAGAGACCCATGCCCAAGTTCACTGGGCATCCGACCAGAGTCCAAGAGACTGTTCTGGAACAGCCCCACTGGTCTCTCCAGCACCAGAAGGCAAACTCCCATCCTTCCCGGAGGAAAAACCGCCCATGGTCACCCCCCAGACAGCACCTGCTACAGCAAGAACCACTCGACAGAGCAACAGCTCACTGAGTTGCAGCGGCCCTGGCTACTGCAGTGGTGCGGCTGCAGGGCTCTCCTGAAAAAGCAGGAGTCACTGAGGAGGAGGCTGTCCCCGTGGAGGCTGCAGACTGTGGGGGCAGAGACAGGAGTTCAGGTGGGGAAACGCCATGCAAAGAAAGGCAATCCCACATGATGAGACTCCACGCTCTCCTGTCCCTTCACCCGCAGCCACATAACCGGTCTCAGGATGACAGGCAAGGGCATGCTTCTGGTTTCTCCATAACTTGAGCATCTCCGTGTGCAAACCCCAAATCCTAATAAGCCTCAGTAGCAATTTTCAAAAGTTCTGAGCAAAACTCACCCCTTAACTGGCCAGGCCAAGAGAGGCAGTCCTAAGCCCCTCCTTAGGAAAAAGGCTAAGTCCCTCATGCCTTCATCCCAACAAAGACAGAATTGTCTGTACCCACAGGTGCTCTCCCTAAAGTGCAGCATAGCAGCCAGGAGACCCTAGTCTCGGCCTCGCGAATGAGCCTGCTTTCCTGGGCATGAGAAGCAAGGCTGGGAATGCTGCCTTCCCAACTTCGCCCTGGGGGACCTACTGCAGAAGTGGGGGCGGGGGCGAGGGAAAATGACTGAGCAACTGTGGGGGGCCCTCAGGAGGGGGCAGGAGACAATCTGGGTTTGAACAATGTGGTTCTGGGAAAGCAAACCAACCACAAAAGCAAGTAAAGGATGGGGGGGGGGGGCAGGGGAGGAGGAAGGAAGGAAGGAAAAAAGGAAGAACAGTAGTTTATCTCACCCAACACCTCCTCTTTCTCTTCCCAGCCCAATCAACACCTCCACGAACCCCTGCAAAATGTTCCGTTCATATAGCACATGTGTGTATGAGAGAATATATACACGGACAGATACTGATCATCAACAGATACTGATCACATGAGGGAAGAACATGACTTGAACTTCAGACTCACCCAGCAGTGCCTGATTCTCTTTCACTATCAGCCTCCTTACCTATTCTGAGGCGCTTCAAAACAAAACAAACAAAAACCAACTCCAGGGCAGCAAGGGAACAGCAGCTGAACTGAGCAGCACATGCTTGGGGCATTCCCGCCTTGGATCTCAGAGTATTTCTGCTTTCTTGAGCCGCAGCCACCAACGCTGGACTCAAGAACAGCTCTGGAGAGAAGTCGCCGGGTAGGGAGACACTCACAGACCCTCCCCGGGGCCACGCACCCTAGCGTGGGCAGCTGAGCCCGTGTGAAATGGACTCAGGTAAGGCTCTGCCCACACGTGACCCACAACACTGCGAAATCCTTCCCTTCCATAATCGCGTGGCATCCAAAGTCTTGCATACACCTAGTACGTGCAGATGTCTATTCCGTAAGAACACATGACGGAAGAACAGAAATGGGAATGACCAAAGCCCCGTTTTCTCGTGACCGCGCTCGTCTCTCCAAGGTGCGCCCCCACGCACGGTGAGTAAACGCACACGGCTGGTAGGTAAACACTAATATCCACCGTGCTCGGCCCACCGTCACGCGTGGAGAGAAAGAAGTCGAGAGGGCGGCGGTGTCAGGGGAAGTGGAAAGTCGCCTGCCGGAGCTCCTCCCGCCCCCGCCCGGGAGCGGTGCCCACCCGCGCCCCGGGGACGCAGCTCCACGCGCTGGACGCGGGGGGGAGGGGGGGGGGTCCGCGGGGCCGAGAACTGGACAGTGAGGACGCGGCCACCAGCCTGTTCGTGCCGCGGTGGCCGCGGCTGTGGCGGCCGGAGCCGCCTGTGCACCCGCTGGCACCCCCACCCTTCTGTGCCCGAGCTCCACTTACGTCCCGAGGGTCTCCTTGAACTCGAAAATTTTCTTGATGTCTTCAGCTTGCTTTTTCCAGGAGGAGCTGCTCTCGCCGTTCTCCCGGGCCATGGCAGACGAGGGCGGCGTGTGCGGAGGGCGGCGAGGCGGCGCGGCCGCGGCGCGTGGGGCCGGGGTGGGCGCGCTGAGGAGGGGGCGCCCGGCGACAGGGGCGCAGGGAGCGGCGGCGAGCCCGTCCGGGAGGTCTGGGGCGCGCGCGCGGGGATGCTCGGCGCGGGAGCCGGAGGACACTTCGTGCTGCGGCAAGAGCTTCCTCTTCTGCAGTTTCCTCTTTCACTCTCGCCGCCGCCGCGGTCCCTCCCTGGCTCTTATTTCTGCTCGTCTCGGGCACAGACTTCCTGCCGCCGCCGCTCGCCGGGCTCCTTTGCAGCCGGCTGCCAGCCTCACTTTCTGCTACTTTCTTGCCTCCCTTCGCCTCCCTCCCCGCCGCCCGCCCTGCTCCCTCCCCCTCCTCCCCCTCCTCCTCCTCCCGCGGGCTCCCCGCCCTCCCCGCGCGCCCCGGCCGCCTCCCGCCTCCCCGCCTCCGGCGCGCTGCCGCCTTCGGGGATGTCCTGCTCCCCGGGAGCGCCGTGCCCCGGGCGCGGGGCACCGCCGTGGGCTGGCGGCCTCGCGCGCCCTGGAGCCCGGGAGAGGGCAGGTGCAGGGGACCCGGGCAGGTGCAGGGTGCCGGGGAGCGCGCGGGAGGGCTCCAGGCCCTTGGGGTGCTCTTTTAATTCTGCAGTCAAGTCCCGGGGGCACGAGGGCTTTCCTCCCAGGCGGCGGGAGGGGGCGCCTCTGCGTGGCGTTCGGCAGCGGCGGGGGGGGGCGGGAGCGCGAGGCCGCCCGGATCCCCGGCGCCGAGGGCGGGGGCGCTCTCCCTGCGCGCCGGGGGGCCGCGGCCGGTGCGTAACCGGGCCGCGCGGGTTGGCGGGCGGGGGCCGGTTGTTATGGCGACGGGAGGCGGCGGTGGGGATGCGGACGGCGGTGGGCGTTGACTCGCGGTCCGCAGCGCCGGCTCGCTTCTGGCGCTCCCGGAGCCTGCCGGTCCCTCCCGACTAGACGACTAGAGCTAATTCGCATTGCACCAAAATCGGCGCTCGCGTCAAATTCTGGCCGGGAGACGGGGCCTCGTGGCGAAGAGAAGAAAGCCTGGGAGCCTCGGGGCCAGAGACGCGCAGGACGCGCCGGGCGCCGCCTTGTGTTCCCTTTGGGAGCTAGACTCCCGGAGTTACTGGGCGCGCGGGCTGCGGGCGGATTCGGGGACCGCCTGGCGCGGGTTCCGTGCTCCTCGCGGGCTGCCCGGGTCCCGGGCTGGAACTGCCAGCGGGCCTGGGCGGGCCCGGGGGGCCTTCGCTCCTGTCTGCCCCCTCCTGGCTTCTCCCCGTCTCCTCCCGCCGAAACCCAGAGACTTCGCGTAAAATGAACGTCTGCCCCGCACCCTTCTCGAGGGGAGGGCTGTCCTCACCCGCCTCAGCCCGACCCGCGGCGGGCTTAGGAGAATACCCTGAGGCGGGGTTTGTCCCTCGAAACATCTTTTCCCACTGGCTGGAGAAACAAACTCAGGAGTTCCCTCTGGCCTCCCATCTCAGAGATTCTCTTTTGACTGCCCACCCTTCTCCCCTGTCCACCTGTCAGCGGGGGAGAGGCTACCTCGTCTTCCAGAAAATAAGTAGTTTTCCTTGAATCCTGATTATCGCTCCAGTAGGGCCCCTGGGCTGAGTTGTGTCAACAGCCTTGTCTCTTGATTGTTGACACCTGCCCCATTTTCCCAGGGCTGTTCCAATTTCAATTTCAAGGGGAAAAAAAATCTACTCCCTGAGAAGGCACCTTCATCCAGCACCTTCTTCCTGGGCCTGACAGGGAGGATGCAGGCCCAGGGCTTTGCCAGAAGCCACCAAGACCCCTCTAGCCCTTCATTCCCACTGTGACCCCAAGGAGGTCAGAAGATGCCTGGCTACCCCATCCCCCACACCTCCATGCTGGTTTCCTGTCTGTCTGGGGCTGTTAGCTCCAGGCCCTCTAGGCAGGGGAGAGCAAATTTGGCGTTACTTGGCTGTTAGAAACACAGATTAAAGGGACAAACAACAACTTCCAGGACAGATTTCCTAGGAAACAAGAAGATGGGGCGTATAACCAAAGTGCAAGGCAAACAGCACCTCTTTCAACAAGAACTGGATTTGAGCAACTAGAATATCTTTTATTTCTGTCAAAGATTCAGTAATATGAAGAGTTGAACCCTAGCATTACCTTCCCATGCTCTAGCGTGAATATCTTCTCTTCTTCTTCTCCTTCCCGTCCACTCTCCTCCGTCTTACTCAATTCTTTCCTCTCTGTTTCACCTTGCTCCTTGCCTAAGGATCAGCCTCCAGAGCTCTTGAGAACCATTTTCAGTCTCCGCTCTTGTCCCCAAAACTAAAGAAATGCGGACGTTCTCTCTTTCTCCCTAAGGAAAAGAGGCAGTTGTCCAGAAGGAGCAAAAGTGAAGGGAAAGCAGCGGAGCGTGGCATGTGGCTTTGCGGCCGTGACTTTACCTACCAGCCTGTCAGGTCCATGAGGACAAGGAACACATTGCCTTTTGCACGACTGTATGCCCAGCACCTAGCATGGTCGCTAACACATAGTAACTGAATGGGTGTTAGGCGGATAAAGAAATGAAAAAGAACTAGGACAGCTATTTGACATCTGTTGTACTGGTTGAAAGGCTATAGAGAATTTTCTTTCTCTTCCAAACTTGGTAACGATGTTCATTCAGCATTATCAAGTCATAGTCAGCTGGACCAGGTCCCAGAGGAAAGATGCAGACATTTAATGCGGAACTGAGGAGGCCAGCCCCAGAGGAGTGGATCCCAAAGGAGGTAGAAATGCCAAAGACAACCTGTGTGGCTTTAGTATGGTAATTTCTCCCTTACTGGACTCCATGTGAAATAAAAGATCTTGATCCTGGAAACTGCCATAGAAAACAAAACCCACCATTTCCTAAGAATGGTTATACCTTAGACTATACATGGCCTAATTCTGTTCACCTGAGGGCCCTCACGTGGAATGTTACCCAGTAACTGACCACTTCCTCCAGCCTGCCATGTTTTTCTAGAGGAAAAGGTGATGGCTGCCAGGCTCATCATTCAATCCCACTTCCAAAGTCAATCAGTTATTATCTATCCTTCAAAAGCTCTCTGTTCCCCCAACAATTCCACTCCAGAGGCTCTGCCACATATTCTAGATGACCAAAGTTAGGTCCTAAGTCTTTATATTTTCTTAAAGCTCTTATAATGTTCATTAAAGAGCCCAAAGAAGAGGTGCTTTTAAGAACACATCATTAAAGAGTTACTAATACTCTGCCCATTAAACTTTTCTCCCACCAGCCCTCCTGCCAGTAGATCAGGATTGTGTGGCCCAGGTTGGGACCTGGGAAGATAGTGCAAGGGAAATAAATATTATGTCGAGCAGATTCAGAGATTAAGTCTGAAATTTTCTAAACTACCTCGATTCAGCCTTTAATACCTAACGTGATAAGCCAGGAAGGCAAGCTGGGGTGGTACAAAGAACTAGAAATCTAGAAAACTAGACTTAAGTCCCAGGTCACAAAATTTGTAAAAACACTTGGCCTCCCTGGGCATGTAAAATGTACACTGTAGCAGGTTTAACAGTATGTAAAGTCGATAATTTTTAGGACTTGCAAATCGATGATTTTTCTTCATTTTATGAAAAGCTCGTCAAAATATCATTAATCTTTGAAATTTTAAGAACTCTTTGGTCCAAAAATGCATTGATCAAAAATATTTTATTAGGGGCACCTGGGTGGCTTAGTCGGTTAAGCGTCCGACTTTCACTTAGGTCATGATCTCACGGTTCGTGGGTTCGAGCCCCACGCCGGGCTCTGTGCTGACTGCCAGCTCAGAGCCTAGAGCCTATTTCGGAGTCTGTGTCTCCCTCTCTCTCTGACCCTCCCCTGCTCACGCTGTCTCTCTCTCTCCTAGAAATAAATAAAAAATATTAAAAAAAAATTTTATTAGATGACCTCCTATAGATACACTCTACATGGAAAAACTTAAATCTCAGCAAGAAATATTGCAGGGAAAAATATTTCCTTCTTAAAAGGTGGGTGCTATCCTCTCCATCAGATGGATTATTTGACAACAGTTTGATGTTAGAGCCTCTTCTCATAAATGCTGCAAAAGTGTTAGCATCTTAAATTCTGTACTTAGTTCTTAGAAATAGGTAAATAGAAATAGGTTACTAGAGCATATGTTTTGTATACTGATGATTAACATAAGTCACGTACAGTTTACAGGACAACAACATCTAGGAAAAGCATAGCTGAGGAATCACAAAGAAGGGCCGCCTTTGCAAAAAGCAGCTTGTCAGAGGGGCGCCTGGGTGGCTTAGTCGGTTAAGCGTCCGACTTTCACTTAGGTCATGATCTCGCGGTTCGTGGGTTCGAGCCCCGTGTCATGTCGGGCTCTGTGCTGACTGCCAGCTCAGAGCCTGGAGCCTGTTTCAGAGTCTGTGACTCCCTCTCTCTCTGACCCTCCCCTGCTCACGCTGTTTCTATCTCTTTCTCCTAGAAATAAATAAAACATTAAAAAAAAAAAAAAAGGCAGCTTGTCAGAGAGGCATAGTCAAGAAGAGGGACTTGATATTATGACCTGGGACATAAAGAAACTGAGCACAATCCAAGGAAAATTCCAGCAAGCCTGCAAAATGTCTGAGGCCCACTCCCCAACACCTCTTACAAAGAGCTATTCATGGAGGAACTCATCTCGTTCACATGATGAAAGGTCAAGGTGGAACCAGCACAAAATCGTTACAAAATTCCTCCAATTAAAACCTAAAACAAAAAAGGGGGGGGGGCAGAAATAGGAAAAACAAGTAGCAATGAAGACTCAACAGCAGAAAAAAAAAAAGTTGCTACAGTAAAGGTAAAGCTTGCGATCAAACATATCATAATTCACACACAAAAAAAAAAACCTATAAAACAAAGAAAGATGCATTTGCTCAGGAAAGATAGGGCAGGTCAACAGGAGAAATAAAACATGAGCTGGAGAGCTCAGGAAGGAAGTAGGAAACAGTAAAACCATCATAGATACAAAGATTGTCTTGGAAATAGCACAAGGAAAATTGCTGAAACCCTTTTAAGTGATATAGAGGACAAATCAAGAATAGTGGGGAAAATAAAATAGAACAATGATTAGCTAGAACAGTATATGAAACACAAAGGAAGAGCAACATATCCATAAATGGTATCCCTTCTGAAGAAACTGAAATAATTAAAAAATATTTAAAGATGTTATTCAAGAAAACTTTTCAAAAATGAGGAAAGACTTTAATTGACAGACTGAAGAGGCACAGCATGTACCAGAAAATGGATGGATGATCAATATCAAGATGTATCCTAGTAAAATTTATCTCTAAAGAAATAATCATTTGTTTTTTAAAAAAAAATTTATTGTCAAGTTAACAATATCCAAAGAAAAAATTATCAAGTCACATAAATCGAAGAAAAAACTGTATCAGTCTGTTACAGACTTCTGTAGCCATAACCAGTGATAGAAGACATGTTTACAAAGTCCCTAAGGAAAGTAATTGTCACATAAGAATTTCATTAGCTAACATTTACTGCCTTCATATTATGCATCAGCCCTGTTCTAAATGCTTTACCATATTTATTAATCTTCACATCAATTCTATGACACAGGTAATATCCTTCTCCCCGTTTCATAGTGGAGTACCACCAAAGTTAGAAAGGCTAAATAACACATCCCAGATCACACAGCAAGAGTGAATAAAACCCACGTAGCCTGGCTCCATCCAGAACTCTGCTTCTAACTATGGCATCATCAAATAACGGGCTTCAGATGAACACTGAGAAGGTGTTACTAGAAGGACGAATGCATGTTGAGCAAGCCAACAGGAGGGATGTCCACTACAATGTAAAAGTGAGAGAGAATTGATAGTTGTTCAAAACCAAACTAGCAGAATCACATGGCTGCTAAGTCCACAAAAGTGTCTTTTTTTTCCTACTTTTTTCAAATCTTTGAGGGACTTTTAAGCAAACGCACTCCTTGGATATTATCTAGTGGACATAAGCTTTATCTTTCTACCTGAGACCCAAGACAAGAGTGAGACCTTGCCTAACATTCTCCTGGAACTGGATTTTGCTTCCTCTATAAGTGACAGTGAGTCACAATCTTGTCAGTTCATATTAGAAGTAAGAGTCTATTCTTATCTTAACTCACTGAAGTGCATTTGGCAGTGGGCACAGGTGCATTTATAAAATCAAATAAATTTCATAAATTTATTTTATATGGCAGTAAATATGCTGCCTCTTCTGTGGGGAACCAGCCTAAACAAAAATGGCACCTCCCCTGATTTTCTACCCAGAATGGAATCTACAACAGACATTGAAATAGAACTTGCTCAGTTTATACTGGAACTAAGAGTATATTCCATACAACTGAGGGAGTTACATTTGATGATGTATATAAATGTGTTTACAAAACCTGAGGGCATTGAGTCAATAAATATGCAGTTT